GTTTGAAGATCAGAGAAAATTTTCACATAGGCCCCATGGCAGTTCCTTTTGGGTCATATTTAGAATTCTATAAGGTAATCCCAAAAAGGAACTACTATGGGGCCTATGGGTAGCCCCTAGCCCCAAATGTGGATTTGTGAGCCTTAGTTTTATTGGGATGTGCCCTACGATGTCAAGTCCTGAGCCCAAGTCCTGAGCCCTGTACACCCCTAGATGCTCCAAGCTCTAAACCCCTAAACCCTAAACCGGTTCGTCCGCCGCGGGTAGAGCCAACACTCGGGACCTGTGTCAGCTAGCAGACTTAGTACTTAACTTGCGTCCGCGTCCGGAAAGAACAGTACTGTTCTGTGGAAACTCTAAACCCGAAACCCTAAACCCTAATCCGGGCCCCTTTCTGCACTTTAAAAAAAAACCCTAAACCGTTCCTTTGCTGATTCTTATACCAGGCTTCCCAACAGATAAGGCCTCCAGGGTTCGGAGTCCCTACACTTTTCCGGAAAAATTATACTGTACCGTAATACATTTTTTTAAACTATAAGGATAATAATGGTAACAATAGTAACAATGCTCATAACAAGAATGATAATAATAATAACAACAAACAGTAGTGAAGACTAGTAACAACAATAATGAACATAATTGTAATGCGGCTTCTGTAATGCATAAGAAGGCTTCGGTGAAGCCTCATGCGAAGCCGAAGGCGTGGGTCTCAGGGACACAAGCGCCGAATACACTGGCGAGGGGTCGGAATGGCTAGTGATAGAGTCCCCTTGTAGTCCCTATACGTTCATACTGATACTACCTACTTTAAGCTTTTGGGTTTAGGGCTTTAGGAGATCATGGGGTTGAAGGGTTCGGGGTCCAAGCTCTATAGTTAGCACTATGTGGGTCCTTCGGACTGTTGATTTCGCAAGCTCTAACATCTCAAAACTCACTACGTAGGACCCTAAAGCTTGGACCCTAAATCGTCGAAGACTCTAAGACCCTTTACGTGGCCTTTTTGTAACCCGTGAAGGAGACCCTGAATGGCGTCCGGGCTTCAATTATGACATGGTAGCCGGAAGAATTACTAAACATAATCCCTTGCAGTCCTTTTGTAATTGCAGTACAATGTACAAGAAATTTGCCGCCAAAACACCCATTATCTTTTATGAAGGCCCCTATAGTAGGTAATTACTTGTATAGCATCCTTTAGGGCGGGGGAAGCGTTGGCACAAGGATGAGGGGTTCGCTTTTTTTTGTTTGTTGCGTTGTGGGGTGCATTAGTAGAGGGGCCTTATAACTAATGATTCGAGTACGTGGATTTTTGCGACTTAATTTACTGCACCCACTACGGAATACTACAATGTAGACCCCTGATGAAGGAATCCATTCTCTTTTAGGGCCCTACTATTACTACTTGGATTCCTATTCTAATCCCTATGGAGGGGGCTCATTAATCACGGGTTCGCAGGGGTTTAGGGGGAAAAGCATTTGTGAGATTCCGGGCATCTGGGGACCCTTGCATCCTAACCTCTTTGCCAGAAAAGCCGCTAAAAACGACGAAGTGGAGGTTTGTAAATAGGGGAAGTTCTACATGTCCGCAGAAACTGTTGGACACCCAACAGGTTTCAGACTTTCGTGTGCAGGGTAGCGGAGGTAATTTAGTCTCTCGAACGGAGTCATATTTACAATGAATACATCTTTGGGGGGGGGGTATGCAGCGCCGGTTTTACTTTCGCCACAACAGAGTTACCGGCGGCATTTGCAGCCTTTGAAAGGACAGAAAAAGGGAAAGTGTTGGCTACGAGTAAACCGAACCATGCCACGACTCCGGAAGTGACAACATGGCTCAGCGTTGTCTTGGACCCTACCAGGCTGCCTGAACACGACTGGAGTAGCAGGTAATACTTCTTGAAAGTGTTCAGACCCCTTTATGATCGGCGTTTATAGAAAGTTTGCAGAGCAATACTGTGTTTTGGGTGTGTGCCTTTTCTCTGCCTCCGCCAGTTCTATATCCCTAAACCGTACACCCTGACATCCCCTATATGGCCGAAACACCTACACCCGAAGACCGAAAACCAAGAGACCCGAAAGCTTCAGCCCATGCGTTCACACCCCCATAGAGCCCGTAATGAAGAATCACACGCAGATCATCTTATCCCCCTTTGTACCTTTGTTTTTGTTTTTTGGGTTTGGGGCTTACTTACAGGGTTTGCATACTTGGTCTTGGGATGCAGGCATGAGGGTTTGAAACCTTAAGGGTTCTCCAGCCTCCTAGAAGCCCTAAAGCCCATGGTGGGATACCTGCCTTTTTTGGGGGGCTTGAAATGGGAGGTTCCGAAAATTGGGGTACCTTATTTTGGGGTCCTTATAATAGGGAACCTATTATTTAGGGTACTGTATTGGGTCCCCTATTTTTGGAAGCTCCTATTTTCTGAAGCTCCCAAATAGCCTAAAGCAGGTACTACTTTTTATAGACCTTCGGCTCCAAAGTAAAGACCCTAAACCACTGAAAGCTCCTAAACCCTGAACCCTAAACCCTGAAACCCTAAACGATTGAGGGTTTAGGGGTTAGGGGGTTTGGGGTTTAGGGGTTTAGGGTTTAGGGTTTAGGGCGTACCATTTACATACTTGGAGCCAGAGGGCTGGGGGTGCGGGGACAGGCGAGCTCGAAAGCCAAGGGCAAGGCCAGGGCGGTCAAGTTTGATTTGAGGGCTTCAGGGTTTAGGGCTTGGGCTTACGGATTTAGGGGTTGAGAGTTGATAGGGGTTTAGGATTGAGGGGTTTAGGGTTGATAGGGGTTTACGATTTAGGGGTTGAGGGTTGATAGGGGGTTTTCGGATTAAGGGGTCTGGGCTTATAAACCGGCTGAGGGCCCAATGTTTGATGCATCGTTTGGACTGTTCGGATTTTGGGGCTCAGGGCTTAGGGCCCCCCAGTCTGACTTTTGCACCTATTACCTGTTGACCTATGTCTTTCAGGGCTATATATTAGAAAACCCTAAACCCTAAACCCTGCAAATGAGTAGTCATAGCCTTCTCGTACTGTTCCGTAGCGTTTGGGGATGATTAGGGACTTAGGGCTTTGCTTCCATAGCACACAGGGTTTAGGGTTTAGGGTAGTTTAGGGTGCTATGTACAGGCTTCTAACAGTTTAACAGGGGCTAGGCTTAGTATTTTGTCGGCCAGGGTGACCCTTTGACCCTGGGCCTCGAATCGAGGGCAAACACTTTGCAAAACGAGATTTGGGGGTCTGGAGGGTAACGGTACCAAGGACCTCCAGTCCTGAAGATGCCTGTTCTGGTGCCTTGTTTCGGAGCTTCTCAATTTTCTCTATCTAGCCACCAGCATGCATAGTAGGACACATGCTGTCGCTGCACGTAACTTCGTTGAACTCGGCGAGACGAACAACACTACAAACGTGCCATAAATCGACCCTCCCATCCCCAAACAAATACACAGACACACACACACACACAGACACACACAGACAAACACTCAGACATGGTTCTGGTCTAGCTAATTGCGCAACATGTAACGCACGACTTGAGGGTGTTGAGAAAGGGGCTTCCCAGATTCTGTATTTTGTGAGACAAGAGCCTATAATTGTGTCCCGCCGCAGAACACTATGTGTGCTTCTCAATGACTCGTTGACAGTTTTGTGCACGCTCGGGAGTGCATGCAAGTTGCACCCCATAGACTTGAAAAGGGTTGTGACCTGTGATCAACTTCAGACGAAATGTTCAGGCTTCGGGTATGTTGGGGCAGTGCTCAGGGGTTCTACATGGCCAACAGTAAGGCGACGTGCAAGATCTGAAGTGACACTTCCTTTATCAGAATCTCTGGGCGGGGGGTTCAGGATGGCAATATTGTTGTGCTTGTAAATCCCAAGCCTTACCATGCCTTACCTAAACCTTGAAAAACCTATACCCGTTTCAAGAACATGTAAGCGGAATTCATAAGAATGATGCCTGAAAAGGTATAGCTGATTTATTTAGGGTAAACACTAAACCGCAGGTTTTGAAAAAGCCTGCCGCCAAACGGTGAGCTGACTGTGAGCCTCGCCAGCCCTAAGGCTCCGAACCGGGCGTTTCGGGTCGTTATAGGATTTGCCTGTGGCTCCAATTTCCTACCGCTTTGAGGATTATACCCCCATAATTAGGGGGTTATAACTTATAACCTACTACTACTACTACTACTACTACTATTACTACTACTACTACTCTGTAGGGTCTGGGGTTGTATGTAGAGTGTAGGCTTCGTCGCAGCGGCTGCAAGCGTTGCAACGCCTGGGGCCCTCGTAGCCTTAGGGCAGGTGGACAGTGGTAATCGTCGCCCAGCTTGAGCTTTGAGTCGTCACGACCGATTCAGAGCAGCGTTTTGGCTGTGGCGGCCGAGACATCGTGGAGACCCTAAGCGACAGGACCACTAAACCCAACTATCACTCAGTTACCGCATTCCCAGGCCAACGAACGGTTGACCGATGTAATTCTGGAAGGGCAATGTGAGCCGAATGGAGTTAGAGCCTGCCTAGCAGCTACTAGACGACTTCCAACCACATGTCCGACCCAATATCGTGGTCGGTCAACGATTAGTAGTAAGTACTGCCCCGTGTCATGTCACGTAATATCGGGGCCCCAATCATTGCCAATACTAGTTTCAGTTTGGGGGTTCCTCTGCTACAACTATATAGTATCGTATACCCCCCAGTTACCCTGTTCGAACTATCAAGGCCCCTACCCTAAACCCTAAACCCTAAACCCTAAACCCTAACCCCTACATTAAGTACTGGCCTGTTGTCATGCCCAAGCCCAGCTGCGTCAAAGGTCCCAGGCCCTCAACCCCGAAGTCCCTTCACCGAACAGTACAAATATATAATGTAGGGGCCTTATAATACTTAGAATAGGGTTTTGGGGTCCTTCATAGTAAAATTAGAAAAAGGAGCCCCCAAAAAATAATGAGGGTAGTTGTTGAGGCCCCCACATTACCATAAGTTATACCCGGTTTGGGGGGTTCAGGGTTTAGGGGGTATGTAGCAGCATATAATATATACTGCATAGAGTTAAAGGTATATAGCACATACTTACACACAATGACACCGTATACTCTGTAATCTATAGTATAGACTATGCAGTATATAAGATGTAGCATACAGCTATGACGCGGTACCTTCTTGGATTTCAACTCAGCCACTCTTGGGTCACCCCTTTGAGTGCATACCGGCCTGTGCAGAGCCGCACAAGGTCGATCTGGGGGGGAGGCGCGGCATAGAGACGCCAGCTACAAGCTGAAATTGACACGAAGATCACGATCGATGGTCTAGTGTTTTAGTGCTTGTTTTGGGTTTGGGGGCCCCAAACCCTAAACCCTGAGAGGATTACGGGACTCCATCGGCTCAAGAATTCGGGGTTTCGAGCTCTAGGAGTTTGGGCTTCAAGGCGCATTTTTATCCAATTCTCAACACAACACAACCTTTCGTTCAATGGTCGTGCGTGACTGTCGAAAAGTGTGCGTCGTTAGGACCGCAGTTAGCCTTGGATTTCGGGTGCGGGTGTTTGAGCGGTAGCCGCTAGTGTTTAGGATGGGGTTGATGTAGACCCGAAGACAACGACCTCGAAAAGTATGAAGCGAGCTTCCACGAAATCTAGGCTTAGGATAATTTGCAGACACTGCGCCCTCGTCCGCTCTGCGTGGTCATAAATGCAATGTACCCCATAACCCTGGTTATTGTGGACCCTATACCTATTCGGAGATCTTGGGGTATGTTCCTAGCCCTTATAGGCCTTAAAGCAGCGAGCAGCTTTGCTGGGCGTCTTTCTGCCTGCCGGCAATTCTGTGGTAAGACTAGCCTTGCAACCTGAATGGGTCCAAGGTCCTGTGTTTCTGGCTTCAGGTTCAGAGCGTCTTTTTTGTAGACACCATAAAAGCTCCGTATAGACTTCCTTGCATGCATCTTACATCTGCATATGCTATATGTATACTATAATATATATATATATATATGCATATCTCATTCCTTGGTGTGTTGGTTTATATGTACATGCGCGGTACTTGACTTCTTGGTGCGGGTTTGGTGCAGTCCGGTTTCTATGGAGTCTCTATAAGTCTGTTCGAAGTATCCAAGCCCTCATACCACGACTAACTTAGGCAGAATTCAAGTAAGAAGGCCCTACACTCTAAACCCTAAACTCTAAACCCTACTTGGAGGATCATGGGGTTTGTTGCTCGGCGTTCGACGTTGGCTTGAGGTTGAAGATTCAGGTTTTTTAAGTTTCTTCAGGCCGAGCTTTTGACTCTAAGGTAATTTCCCTAAGATGAAGACCTAAATGACGAGAGTGAGGTTTTTTGGGTGGTTTCTTATTATAGTTATAGTAAAACATACCCCAAACCCTATTCCAATTATTAAGGCCTACAGGCTGACCGAGGTGTTTTTGCTCCTGTTCTGAGACTGATCTTCAGCGACCTCTGGCTCCCCAAGTCCCGACCCCAACAGAGCCTTCAGGGCTCTGTGGGCCCTCAGCTAGGGTAATATAGGGGCCTTCATAGTTAGACTAGGGTTTTGGGGCCCATGACACTATAATTAGAACTAATAAGGAAGCCCCAAAATATAGTGCTGGTAATAATTTGGGCCCTACCGTACGGCTTTAAACCGTTCGAGATTGGCCGACCTGTCGACATTGGACCCATTGGGAGCCGCGAGCGCCGAGAAAGGATGTGATCTGTCCTCGGTGACGAGGTTGGCGCCGGATGCGATCAGGGGGTTTCTGAAATAGGGGACCCTAATATAGTACCCTAAATAATAGGATCCTTAATATAAGGACCCCAAAATAAGGTACCCCTAATTTTCGGAAACTCCCATCCGGAAAGGCTCTTACTATGCCTAGGTGCCCCAGTTCCGGGATGGCGACTTCGCCATGCAAGCCCAGCTATCTATGTAGCAGGTTACTGTCTAAAAAGGTTCTAGAGTGGTTGAGAGAACAGTATCCTCCCATGTAGGAAGCCAGGCTCCTAGGGCTCAGACATGGCATTTATCGCATGGCCCTTTCTTGGTGGAGGCTGCCAGGGAACTCAAACGCCTAGGAAACTGGGGAACCTTGTCTTACTAAGCCCTGCTGTCTCTGTACAAAGACCATGGCAGGTTTGATCCGGGCAGAGCTTCGCAAAAAAGAGGTCTTCAGTAGGAGTGATTAGTGGGGTTTTGTGCATAAGGTTTAGGGGCAGTCGTCGTCGCAGTCTTTACCGCCCAGAGGTTAGGCACCGGGCTTCGTGGTTGAGGGTTGTTTTGTCTTCGGCCTTCATTTGGGCTTTTTTCAGACCAGGGTATATATGTTCTCGAGTCCTCGCCTAGTTTCGGTCGTGCATTGAGCAGTCATGCTTTATGCGCCTGAAATACTGCCAAAAGCCTGGATCCAGAAGCTACTTCAAAAGCACCAGAAGAAGCCTCAAGCCAAAGAAACTAATCCTAGTGAAACATGGACCACCGGGACTTTGCAACAGATATCCTGAACCGAAAAGCCTGAAGTCGTGGCTGTGGCTCGATTTAGCCATGACTTTAAGGGCTTCAGCCTCTGTTTAGCCGCATCGAAACTCAGTAATCCGATCACCCTAATATTAAACGGCGGGGGCCCCCAATAGATACTCGGAATGTGTTTTTTACTATTAGAGGGGAATGTTTATCCCTACTGCCACGTTTGAAGGGTCGCGCTCTTGCTCTGGCTCGTGCTCCCGCGCTGGCTTTTGCTCCTGCTTCTGCTGCGTCTCTTGAGCCTGCTCTGCTCCTGCTGCTTTTGCTGTTGCTCCCGCTCTTGCTCTTGCTCTTGCTGTTGCTTCCGCTCTTGCTTCTGCTTTGGTCTTGCTGCTGCTATTGCTGATGCTCCGCTTTTGCTTTTCTCTTGCTCCTGCTCGTGCTCTAACTCGTTTTTGCTCCTACTGTGCTTGAAGGGTACTTGGAACCCCGAAACCCTCCCCGTAATTCAGAATAGGTCTTAAAGGGCAGGGATGATTTGGGGAGGATTCGTCTGTGTTGTTGTTGTTAGGGTGGTGTTTAGTAAAAGGGGAAAGTGATTATTCACTACGGAGCTATATCCTTAAACTCCTGCAGATTCTTCAGAGCGCCCGTGAAGGAACCCTATATTCATGTGTTCGGTTGTCAAAATTATGTTCCCTTTTGGGGTACCCTAAATAATAGGTGCCGTATTATAATAACGACCCAAAAAGGGACCCAGATTTTGACAACCACCCCTGTGTTCACGCCTCTGCATGAGGCTTTCGCGCTAAGCCTTGAAGCCTAGGCAGAGGTACTAACACTACTCTTTAAAGGTTTAGGGGGGTACTAGGGTACATTGTTATGAGTGTGTTATACTAGACGATAAAGCAAGTCTTCGACGCGTCAAGACTCCTGTATGAAAGCCTCAACTCTAAACTCCGTCCCCGGAGCCTTACCCGTAGCCAACCTACCAACACAAGAGGTCATGACTCTTTACCTGCGGCGTATCACCCGTGTAAAACATTGCCCCAAAGACAGCACCTAAACGCCCCTAAACTCTAAGCCCTAAAGCAAAAATCAAAATAACAACTCTTTGTCCGGAGACTTCACCATGCCCTCATGGCGCTGGCGGCCGCGGCGGCCAAGGGGTGCGCTTTCCTAGAAGATGGGAGTGATACATGTCTTAAGTTAAGGGCCCCCATACAAATATGCATATGTGTATATATATATATATAAACACATACATACATGTATACATACGTACATACATACATACATACATACATACATACGTACATACATATGAACAAACAAACACGTACATACATACATACATGCATACATACATACAGACATACATACATATATACATACATACACAAATACACACATACACACATA